AAGAGCCTATCTCAGGTAGGCAGGGAGGCAATGGAGGCAAGATCGCATGTGAGCCAAGGCTCTCAGCCCAGCGCACGCTCCATTGTCCCATCTAACTTCACTTACAGAACACAGATTCAAAGACAAAATTATTAAGAATTTCAAGACGGTGACCCCAGAGCATTTAACTCCAAGCACAGGATCCTTCTGAGTGTGGGGCCCTGAACAACTGCACTAGTTGCATCCCCGCAAAGCCAGCCTTGGAGATGACAGTGAGCGAAAGAACAAATGATGCTCCTGGCCAAAGCACCCCGTCTCACACAGCCAGCCCTCACACAGCCAGTCATGACAGCTGCAGAATTTGTTGCAGGATGAAGAATATGTGGTGCATCCTTTCTCATAATCTATTCTCTCTTTTTTTGGTATTAAATTCTATCTTTTTTCATTTTTCAACTACAGCTGACATACAATATTATATTAGTTCTGGGTGTACAACATAGTGATTAAACATTTATATAACTTATGAAGTGAGTATCCCAACAAGTCTGGTACCCATCTGACACCATACAGAGTTGTTACAATATAATTGACTATATTCCCTATTCTGAGCTTTACATACCGTGACTATTTTTATTTTCTTTCTTATTTTTTTCAATTACAGTTTATATTCAATATTATTTTGTGTTAGTTTCACGTATACAGAACAGTTGTTAGACAATCTATTCTTTCTTCTTGTTTCTTTCTGATCATGATCCACATGTCATGTCTAAGGCCTTGTCTCTTTCAGGGCCTGTCCCTCCTGAAGTGGGAAGTGTCAGAAAAGGCAGCCTGGTATGATAGCAAGAATGTTACCCGGGAACAAAGATAAAGAAAAAATAATAATAATAAAGAATGTGACCAGGAGTCAACAACCCTGGCTGTCTCCTCTACCATTCCATTCGCTCTGCACATCCCTTCATTTCTCTTGGCCCCTGCTTCCTTATTATTTAATTCCACGTGTAATGAAGCTGGCTTTGTGGATGAAAAGAGGCCACACGCTAACCTGGCTAGCTCACGGAACGCCTGTGTGGCAGCCTTGCAAACTCAGAGACCTAAAGTAACCACAAAGGATGGTCTGAAATGAAAACTTTTTTAACTAAAAAGCAGTTTATGGTGGGTAGTCATGTCCTAAGCCAGTATCTTCCCTCACGAAGGTCAATCTTTTACCTTAACTGCACTTTTCTATTGTCTTTGCATCTGTGATAACAGATCGTTGCAATGTCAAAGTAATTTTCCTTTTCCCAGACCCCTCAAAGCACACGCACCACTCTGCAGAGACCACAAATCCCCTCATTATAACTGAGTTGTTGACTGCTAACTATCCTGCACCCACCTAAGTAAAAGAAGTGTNAGCACCTCTCTGGAGACCACAAATCCCCTCATTATAATTGAGTTGTTGACTGCTAACTATCCTGCACCCACCTAAGTAAAAGAAGTGTGTGTCTATCATTTTACTTTTCATCCAATCCAAAAGGTTTCCCCACTTTGCTTTTTCCCGCCTCCCCAATCTATCACAATGGATTTCATGTAGCCCACTTGCGTCTCTCCCTTTGACTGTAACGCATAAAACAAGGTGTAAAACTGCCATTCCCCGGAGCATTATCTCAATGCGTTAAGATTCTGCTTCTCAGCGTATGTCGACAGTTTGGCTCAAATAAACTCACAAAAATTCTTCACAGGTTTGAATGTTTCTTACGTTAACATCTTCCTTATTATGAATTATTAATGAAAGGATTAAGACAGGTGACCTCTAACGTTTCCCCCAACTGTTTCTGAGAGCAGGAAACAACACAAACAGGTGTTTGACAAAAGGCATTTGACATCTTGACTGTTTTATCTCCATTTTTAATGGGCTCATGGTAATCAATACATTTTGATTCATCAAAGCCATATCTGAACTGCTTGGTGTGATGTTGTTGCCACACAAAAGCCAAAAGAATTGAGTTGTGAGTGACGTGGAGGTGTGTGGGCAAAGGAGGCCTCATTTCCTTAAGGCCCAGCAGCACATGGGTCAGTTCTACAACCCCAGATTTTTAAGTAACAATAATTAGTACATGAGACAAGTTCTTTTATGTCAGGTGCTCAAAGGCCTGTGTGGTCATTAACCCATTAATTCACCTGCCTCAAGTCATCAGGTCAGAAGGAATTGCCTTAGAAGACAGGCTGGCCAGAACATCACAACAGTGAGGAACGGCCATGACTAACTAGCTGGGGGGCTGGGAGGAGGGAAGAGGTCACCAAAATAATTCCCCTGGAAGAATTCAATGGGAAATCCTCTGTTGTTCTACTGACAGCAATTGAACCACTCACTAGGCTTTTTGAGTGAATTCGCATGGATGTCACATTTCATTATCTAGAAAATCCCTTTACCCTTTAATGTAAATTTTAGATTCGCCTTTTCAGCTTCAATCTGACCACAATTATGCCTAAAGCAAGTAAAGCGGAAGACTCTCCTCCCTGGAATATTCTTCTCTTAAAGGAAAAACATGAGTTTTTAATGTTAAGCCGTCTCTAAAATAGAACCCACTTCAAAATGACTTTGTCTGGGGTGTGTTAAGGCCCTGACCTATTTGCAGGTGGTTTTCATTAAAAAGCATCTGCTGGGAAAACACACGGCTGAAAAGCACCTTCACAAGGCCTGGAATTCTATCATTAGGATCCTTCAATTAAACAATCTGTCCACCACCTGGGAGGTGCTCCGCCGGGGGCCAGGTGCTATGGGGGCATAAAATGTGGAACCTAACCCCCGAAGCAGCTATAACTCTAACCAAAAGGATGAGATAATACAAATATAATAAACTAATAAATGTATTTATTTCTAAATGCATTTATTTTTATTTATTAATGAATTAATTAATGCAAATAAAATAGATAGAAAATATGGTTTCTGTAAGTTTGAACAGCATAGACCCTATATGTTGTTGAGTTCAAGGTGGAAGGAGACGAATGAGGGCTACAGTGATCAGAGAAGGCAGGAAAGCTTATAGAGGAGATACAATGACCAGGTCTAAAGGTAGGAAAAGCATTTGGGTAGGAAACAGGAAATAAATCACAAAGGATAAATAGGAATAAAGCGGAGGCATTCAGGTCAGGAACAGCACGTAGGAGAAGGCAAGCAGATGGGAGCTTATTTCTTTGGGAGGCAGTAGGAAAGCCACCCTGGATAAACCACAGGACCAGGAGACCTGAAAGAAACACGGGTGGATGAGAAAGGGAGGGCCAGGTCACAGAGTAACTTGAAACTAGGCTAACAGGTACTGATTTGGGGTCTTCAGCAATCCTCTGTCAAAATGCAAATATGCAGGAAAAGAACTGAGGCATAAATTGGGAGCAGGGGTGGAGAAATGAGGAGGGGCCCAAAGCCAGTATAGATGGCACACAGTACTGTGTGCTCTCTTATGTGTCGCCACAGGAGAAAAGGAATATGACCTACCAACATCAGCTGGTAACTCTCAGTTTTGTGTCCTATCTTGGGCCCTAGGAGTGCCCCGGTGGAATGAGACCCAAAGCAATACATTCTCATACAGGGTGAGGACAGGAAGGACATAGGGAAGTTATACCAAAGTCCACACTTGGTGGACAGCCAAGGCCTGAGCAAGGACTTGGAAAAGAGAGTAGCGGAGAAGACAAATCTCCCCCAATTCACAATTTTGCCAACCTCTGGCCCTCTAAATGCACACACCCTTCTTTATGGCCCAGAAAAGTTCCTATTCCTCTGTTGAATGGATGCTTTTTGGATCTTACAATCAAAATTAAGATGTGGGGGAGACTCTGTAGATGGCTTTTCAAGGAGTAGGTCAGAAGAAGAATGAAGAGTCCTCATGTAAGGCCAACTGAGGGCCTCTCTCAGCTTCCTGAACACACTGGAGTATATAGGGAGCAAGCAGACTTTCCTAAATTCACTCCACCTGCAGGACACTCTTAAAGCCAAGGTTCCTCCAGTGAGCAGTAGAATGAAAAACAATTGTTATCACCAAAGAAGTCTCTGTAGAAAAGTTGCTGTGAAACTGGAATAGGTGTGTCTTTCTGACCTTCCGGTTCTTTTTATAGGCACTGCAGGAATCTGAGTGAGGGCCTCCAGTCCTTCCGCCCATTTGGGGAGGGAATAAAGAAGCTGAAGTTGTCTCCCTCTTACTCATTGGCAGTTACAACCTCACAGCCACCACAGCCTCAGCTTTCAGCGTGGACACAGAGAAGGTAAGTCAAAATGAAGGGGCCATGCCCTCAGCTATAAACCGGGGTCACTCCAGCCATCTGGCTTGGGAATAACTGAAGAGGAGGAGAGCTAGGAGTATTCAATTGCAAGGTACTTTTTTCCAAATGAATATGTGGAATTTTTTCCTAGGCAACCTCTGTTAAGACATAGATTTTGGTGCTAAACTACCCAGAAAGTTATTTAAAGGCAGGGACCATTTTGAATAATTCTTTGATGAACAAATAGTAAATATTGAACAATTATATGATGCATGGAATTGACTTGAATTTAAAGAAGGAACAGTCATTAATATTACTAGGAAAAATTACCTGTCTGTCTCCTTCAGGGAGTGCATCAGTGTCTTGAGTGATCCAATGATCCATTAATGTCAACAGCCCTTGTCATGAAGCCTGCGATAACTGGAATCCCATCGATCATGCAGACTTTGTCACACACCCCGTTTTATGAAAAATATCCTGCGTTAACTTCAGCCTTGGTGGAAATTGTGACATGGAAATGAATGAATTATCTGGAGCCCCCAAGTAAAAACAGGGCCCCTGCTGTTTTTCCCAGCAGGATAGAGCTAGGATAGTTTTGAGGGTTTGATAGTTTGGGGCTATTTCATTCAGTACATCCAGGTGTCTTTATTTGGGACTGAGAGACATTATAGTGACCTGCATATACCCAACAGGTATTCTTGTGGGTAGATGTAAAGTCATAAGTTTGTCTCATCTTTTTTCTCCAGGGAAACAGAAGTCCATTCTCGTGAGGTCCACCTACAATCACCATGTATGAGGACTTCACCGAGTCCACTGGGGACTATTATTTCCTCTGTGACACAGAGGGGCCATGGGGCATTGTTCTGGAGTGCCTGGCAATAATTGGCATAGTGGTCACAGTTATTCTGCTCTTGGCATTTCTCTTCCTCATGAGAAAGGTTCAAGACTGTTGCCAGTGGAATGTGCTCCCCACCCAGGTGCTCTTCCTGCTGGGTGTGCTGGGGCTCTTTGGCCTTGCTTTTGCCTTCATCTTCCAGTTTAGTCAGCAAACTGCCCCTGTACGCTACTTTTTCTTTGGGGTTCTCTTTGCTCTCTGTTTCTCATGCCTCTTGGCTCATGCCTCCAACCTAGTGAAGCTGGTCCGGGGTGGAGTCTCCTTCTGTTGGACGACAATTCTTTGCATTGCTATTGGTTGTAGCCTTTTGCAGACAATCATTGCCATTGAGTATGTGACTCTCATAATGACCAGATGTATGATGTTTGTACACATGACACCCTGTCAGCTCAATGTGGACTTTGTTGTGCTCCTGGTCTATGTCCTTCTGCTGATGGCCCTCGCATTCTTCGTCTCCAAAGCCACCTTTTGTGGCCCGTGTGAAAACTGGAAGCAGCATGGAAAGTTCATCTTCGTCACTATGCTCATCTCCATCATTATCTGGGTGGTGTGGATCTCCATGCTCCTGAGAGGCAACCCACAGCTCCAGCGGCAGCCCCAGTGGGATGACCCTGTCATCTGCATTGCCCTGGTCACCAATGCATGGGTTTTCCTGCTGCTGTACATCATACCTGAGCTCTGCATTCTCTACAGATCATGCAAGCAGGATTGCCCTTTACAAGGCAACACCTGCTCAGCCCCAGTCTACCAGTGCAGCTTCAGAGCGGAGAACCAGGAACTCTCAAGAGGTACTCTCCTGGGGGATTCAGGGAGCAGGGAGAAACAGGAGAGAAATAGGGCAACAGCGTGAATCAAGAGGGAACAAAAGGGGAATGATCAGAATTTAGTGGATGATTAAATAGTTCAGGCATGGCGATGAAAATCCCCAGAATCAGGGTTAAATTTTGATGAAAAATGAGTTCTTCCAAAATACAGAGACCAAATGGAATGAGACAAGACAGAAATGAATCAAAGGCCCTAAGTAAAGGGGGCGTGGCTGTAGTGCTCACGCTGGGTAAAGAAAGGCGCCCACTATAAAATGAGTTAGCCCCAAATTAGGCTTGGACCATGCAATTGCATGACATATAATGCTAAGTCCAGATGTTTTGGCTGTCAAGTACAAAAGTCAATCCTGGCAACAGTGATTGACATTTTAAAAGTTAAGTCTCGAAGTTAATTTGCCCAAACATCATCATAAACCGATTTGTAGGACTCATCACCTCGTTAAAGTCACAAAGCCCAATAACGTCCGGATCTCTGCTTTTTAAACTATTCACTGCTTAAAACCCTTCAAGGCTTACAAAAAAACACAGGAAGAGGCATTAATTCAGAATCCTGAGTAAAGGCACAGATGTATAATCATTAATAGAAATAAAGCAACGTGCTTAAGTGACATTTTCATAATAATTCCTAGGTCATATTTTGATCCTTATGTAAGACCAAGCCACCTGACTACCCTTTATTAAAGAATAAAATATATTATCCATGACAATAAGGTGGCTGGGACACCAACAACCTGGGGGAAATAGTGGCTAATTTCAGTCATCTGGAAATATGTCAAAACATCATTTCCTTTCTAAAACATCTGGCCTATTATTCATAACCAAATATCATCATTGTACATCAATTCTTGTGTCTTAATAGGCATCTGATTTCTCACAATTTATTTCCAGTGTGCACAGATGATGCTATTTTATATATTGTATAGCACACACAATGTTCACTAGGCTCAAAAAAATTAATAGAAGTTTTCCTTTTAAGTGCATACACTTTTTTGAGCTATAATCTATGGTTAATTACACATTCAAATTAAATCCTGTTCAGATGGATGCATCCATTAATTCCTTTCAGTTCAGTTGACCGAGAGTCAGGCATTGACAATATACATCCTTCCTATAACAGTTTTTCATTGCTTGTTGATGATGTGTAATCAGATCGCTGGAGTTTGAGCAGATTTGCAGAGTCTATTTTTCTTGAAACTACTTCTCACTAGAAGATAGAGTAGAACTTCCTGTGTTTGTTTTATTGTTGTTTTTATGTTTCCAGGAAACAAAAGTCAGAAAGAAGAGGAGAGAGATAATGCTAAGAGTTTCATAAAACCCAAAACACACTGGGATTTGTAATGATCAATATTCCATACCCCAAAAATATTGGGCAAGTGTTTCAAGTGTCCTAAGGAGTGTCCTGGTGGAAAAGCAAGCAAGGGGTTTGCAAAAGCACAGTGTTTCCTAGCACTGGCCTTATTGCTCAAGCAGGTTTAGAAAATCCACTTCTGAGCAGAAAATAGCCTGCCAGCGATAGTCTTTGTCAATGTAGTTTGATACTTTAAACACT